TAGATAATAACTGCATACCAAGAGCCAGGGGCCATGTTGAACTGTCCCAGCACAGCTGTTGTGGATGGGTTTGTGGCAGACAACCATTATCAGCCACAACTCATCTGTTTTTTACAGAAGCCATACGGAAGGAGTGTCTTTTGCATCTTTGAGGGCAGCAATAATCACTTCAGTTCCATTCAGGGTGTGGTATTGTTTCTCTTTTTTTTTTTTTGAGATGGAGTTTCGCTCTTGTTTTCCAGGCTGGAGTGCAATGGCGCAATCTTGGCTCACCGCAACCTCCGCCTCCGGGGTTCAAGCGATTCTCCTGCCTCAGCCTCCCTAGTAGCTGGGATTACAGGCATGTGCCACCATGCCCAGCTAATTTTGTATTTTTAGTAGAGATGGGGTTTCTCCATGTTGGTCAGGCTGGTCTCGAACTCCCGACCTCAGCTGATCCACTTGCCTCAGCCTCCCAGAGTGCTGGGATTACAGGCGTGAGCCACTGCGCCTGGCCAGGGTGTGGTATTTCTTTCTTGCCACTTTGATTGGCTGGGGAAGGGCAGGGTGTGCAGGAGTTTCCACTTGACCCTTTTTCCTATGACCTACCTATGCTACAGGTTAAGTAACCAATGTGCTGGGCATCTATCCCCCTGCTAAACATATCCCAATTGTTTTCTCAGGGACATGGCCATAGGGTGAGTCTGTCCCCACTGGGCCCACTGAGATGGATTTGGGCCAGGACTCCATTTATCAGCTGACCTCTGTCTGGAGGGCAATGGTAAGTTTTAGATTTGTGTCATCTTAGATCCTATATCAAAAAGCCTCAAAAGGCCTGGGCATTCTGTTTTCCTAATACATTAGTGAACAGCCACAGGTCCTTTGGGGAAATATTTATTGTATATACTTGTGGTACAGTTGGAAGGTCTTCAAAAAAACCCAAACTCCCCTTGAGTTGATGGATTCCGAATCTCAGAACTGGCTCAGATCTGGAAAGTAGCGGAAGGATTGCAATTTCCCATTGTTAACAGCTGGTATCAGTCTTCTCATCCACTCTTGGGATTTTTTTGTTTATACAAATCAAAGCCTCACCCTGTTGGCTGAAAGTTTTTGCTAAGAACACCAAGGGTTATTAGTCAATGCCACAGATTCCTGTGGGTCAAGACACCCTAGTGGGCCAGGAGTGGCTCCTGCCTGTAATCCCAGCACTTTGGGAGGCTGATGCAGGAGGATTGTTTGAGCCCGGGAGTTCGAGACCAGCCTGGGCAACATAGTGAGATCCCATCTCTCTTGTTTTTTTTAAATTCATATTTAAACAAAAATAAGGCCGGGTGTGGTGGCTTACGCCTCTAATCCCAGCACTTTGGGAGGCCAAGACAGGCGGATGACGAGGTCAGGAGATCGAGACCATCCTGGCTCAGTGAAACCCCATCTTTACTAAAAATACAAAAAAAAAAAAAGAAAAATTAGCCAGGCGTGGTGGTGGGTGCCTGTAGTCTCAGCTACTCAGGAGGCTGAGGCAGGAGAATGGCATGAACCTGCGAGGTGGAGCTTGCAGTGAGCCGAGATCGCACCGTTGCACTCCAGTCTGGGTGACAGAGCAAGACTCTGTCTCAAAAAATAAATAACAGGCCGGGTGTGGTGGCTCACACCTGTAATCCCAGCACTTTGGGAGGCTGAGGCAGGTGGATCACCTGAAGTCAGGAGTTCAAGACCAGCCTGGCCAACATGGTGAAACCTTGTCTCTACTAAAAATACAAAAAATCAGCTGGGCGTGGTGGCGGGTGCCTGTAGTCCCATCTTCTTGGGAGGCTGAGGCAGGAGAATGGCATGAACCTGGGAGGCGGAGCTTGCAGTGAGCCGAGATTGTGCCACTGCACTCCAGCCTGGACGACAGAGCAAGACTCCGTCTCAAAAAGAAAAAAAAATACAAAAATTAGCCGGGTGTGGTGGCATGCGCCTGTAGTCCCAGCTACTCAGGAGGCTGAGGCAGGAGAATTGCTTGAACCCGGGAGGCAGAGGTTGCAGTGAGCCGAGACTGCGCCGTTGCACTCCAGCCTGGGTGACAAAGCGAAACTCCATCTCAAAAAAAAATCACCCTAGTTGCCACTCTGGCCTTGTTGCCCATCATGGAAATTGCGTCCACTTTACCTGTGAGAGCTCAGTGCCACTGCCTGGCCTCTGCTGACCAGTCATCCCAGTAACAACAGGGAACTCTGTTCTGTGGCAGAATCTCCTACTGTTAACCCTGCTGAGGCAGCTGTCACTGAACAATCCCGGTGTTGCCCTCAGTTCATCCTTTATCGTCTGAGTGAACGGGAAGCTATTTAGGCCCTCTGAGATAACATAGGTGTTTGGTTCTCAGGACTCATGGAAGAAATTCATTTTAACACACACTGAGTCTGCTGACACCCTTTCTCTGCTCATCATTTCAGCAACTCTACCTCATTTACTGTAGGCCATCATTCCTCACCAAGTATTGGATTGTGTGTTTTTTTTTTCTTTTCATAGAGACGGAGTCTCATTATATTGCCTAGCCTAGTTCTGAACTCCTGGGCTCAAGCAGTCCTCCCATCTCAGCTTCTTGAGTAGCTGAAACGACAGATGTGTGCCACCACGCCCAGCTAATTTTTATTTTTTGTAGAGACCGGGTCTCACTATGTTGCCAAGGTGGTCTTGAACTCCTGAGTTCAAGCAGTTCTCCTACCTCAGCCTCCCAGAGTGTTGACACTACAGGCGTGACCCACTGCACCCAGCTGATGATTTAATACATGAAAACCACTTGGAAAAGAGCCAGGCAATGCTGACACAGAGTATATGCCATGTATCAGCTGCTGCTACCATCACTTGCAAATCCCATCTCCTCTATAACCTCAACTCTGAAAACCTCTGAAAACAGTATCTTTCCACTCCAGCTTTACTGAATCTGCCCAGGGCTTGATGCTGGTTAGATGGAGAAGGATGAGGAGTATAATCAAAGAAAACTTATAAAATTTTGACCCTGACAGGTTTACAGAAATTTTAAGAGAAGGCAATAAATGGGGAAGTGGGATCTGGTTTGAAACATACTATGAAACTGTAGACTGCTCTGCAGTCTACTGGAGACCCACAACTGAGGCTTGGGAGAGCCATCAGGACAACATGAGCAGATTTTTTTTTCTTCTTTGAGACAGAGTCTCGCTCTGTTGCCCAGGCTGGAGTGCAGTGGCCTGATCTCAGCTCCCTGTAGCCTCTACCTCCTGGGTTCAAGTGATTCTCCTGCCTCAGCATCCCGAGTAGCTGGGCTTACAGGCACATGCCACCATGCCTGGCTAATTTTTGTATTTTTAGTAGAGACAGGGTTTCACCATGTTGGCCAGGCTGGTCTCGAACTCCTGACCTCATGATCCACCCACCTTGGTCTCCCAAAGTGCTGGGATTACAGCCTTGAGAACACAGGCAGATTTAAAACTTATTTGCATGGGCTGGGCGTAGTGGCACATGCCTGTAATCCCAGCACTTTGGGAGGCTGAGGCAGGCAGATCATGAGGTCAGGAGTTTGAGACCAGCCTGGCCAACGTGGTGAAACCCTGTATCTACTAAAAATACAAAAATTAGCTGGGCGTGGTGGTGGGCGCCTATAATCTCAGCTGCTACGGAGCCTGAGGTTGCAGTAAGCCAAGATTGCTCAACTGCACTCCAGCCTGGGCAAGAGCGAGACTCTATCTCAAAAAAAAAAACGGTAATCTATAAAATAATTTTTATTTTTGAGACCGTCTTGCTCTGTCATCATGTGGTGGTGCAATCACAGGGGCTCACTGCAGCCTCAACTTCTGGGCTCAAGCAATCCTCTTAACCTCAGCCTCCCGAGTAGCTGGGACCACAAGCGTGCACCACCACACCCAGCTAATTTTTCTTTCTTTTTTTTTTTTTTTTTTTGGAGACGGAGTCTCACTCTGTCCCCTAGACTGGAGTACAATGGTGCGATCTCGTGTGTAAGTGATTCTCCTCCCTCAGTCTCCTGAGTAGCTGGGATTACAGGCACACGCCACCACACCCAGCTGATTTTTTGTTTGTTTGCTTTTAGGAGACGGCGTTTCACCACGTTGGTCAGGCTGGTCTCAAACTCCTGGCCTTGTGACCTGCCCACCTTAGCCTCCCAAAGTGCTAGGATTACAAGTGTGAGCCACGGCACCCAGCCCTAATTTTTTTAAAATTTTGTTGTAGAGATAGGGTCTTGCCACATTGCCTAGGCTGGTCTGAAGAGATTCTACTGCCTTGGCCTCCCAAAGTACTGGGATTATAAGCATGAGCCACTGCACCTAGCCTATAAAGAAATTTTAGTGTTGGGCACAGTGGCTCACACCTATAATCCCAGCACTTTGGGAGGCTGAGGCCGGCAGATTGCTAGAGCTCAGTTTAAGACCAGCCTGGGCAACATGGTGAAACCCCGTCTCTACTAAAAATACAAAAATTAGCTGGGGCATGGTGGCGCACACCTGTAGTCCCAGCTACTCTGGAGACTGAGGCACAAGAATTGCTTGAACCCGGGAGGCAGAGGCAGCAGTGAGCCAAGATGGCACCACTGCATTCTAGCCTGGGCAACAGAGCGAGACACTGCCTCAAACAAAAAAAGAAAAATTTAAGTCAACTTTCAGATTCCATTTATAGTCACCAACATGTCGTCTTTTTTTTTTTTTTTTGAGATGGAGTTTCGCTTTTGTTGCCCAGGCTGGAGTTCAATGGCGCGATCTCAGCTCACTGCAACCTGCAACTATTGGGTTCAAGCAATTCTCCTAGCTTAGCCTCCCGAGTAGCTGGGATTACAGGCATGTGCCACCACACCCAGCTAATTTTGTTTTTAGTAGAGATGGGGTTTCTCCATGTTGGTCAGTATGGTCTAGAACTCCTGACCTCGGGTGATCTGCCAGCCTTGGCCTCCCAAAGTGCTGGCATTACAGGTGTGAGCCACCATACCCAAGGCAACATGTCTTGTTTTAACTGAAATGTATGGTCCAAACTGCACAAAACCACACTCAATCTCTTCTGAAAAACTATTCTGTTTAATAGTGCACTTCATTTATGCTACAGGATGAGCAGGGTTAGGAAAACACAATGGAAGGTCATCCCGTCGGTTGGGAATACTTGGAGAACGCCATCCTCACCCAGCAACGAGCTCTGCCATCAGGCTCAGGCACAGCCTGCCTTCTCTGGGCTTCGCTTTTTTTCCCCCTCCTTTTGGGCTTTGCTCTTTATCTGCATTAATCTTCAGCTGCTGAAGAGTCAGAGGTGGAGGCAGGAGCGGTCAGAGGTGAGAGGGCAGGGTAGGCAGGCCGAGTGAGCTCCTTGAAAGCATCCTTACCCATTGAAAGCATCCTTACCCAGGCATTTAGAGAAAAATCATTTTCATCACTGGAGTGGGAAGAGGACGAGAGGACAGGAATCAGAGGCCAACGCTAAGTGCTTCTGACCCTCTCCCTCACAGCTGGTTACTAGCTGTTTGGATAGATTTGCCCATTCAGCCCCAGGACAACTGGGGAGGGCGGGGGTCTGCCAGCAGTATCACCGGGTTTCTCTTGGAAACATGGTCTGGCTGCTCCAAGAGCCCTAAAGGACATCATCGTCACAGATGATGTTTCTGGAATCTCTTCCACCCTCAATAAAATAATCCCTCAATGCCAAATTTCCATAATTAATAAAATCATGAAACAAAACAGCATGTTCCTTATTGAAACTTAAAGCTGGACTAGGAACAGTAACTTTGAAATAGTCTCCGTTTCCCCTCCCTAGCAAATAACAGGACCCAGAGCGTCCTTTCCACTGCTGTCTGTGCTGACTACGTGGACTCCAACTAAAGGAATCCATCAAATTCTGTCCCGACTGTGCTTCCGTCCCCACCTTGGAAAGGTTCCTCTGCTGTGAGAAAAATGGTTTAGTGCAAACTCCTTTCCTAAATGGGGTGACTGGTCCCAGAGCTGCTTTCTGTTCCCAGCACACCATCCGCTTGCCTTGTCGCTTTCCAAGGCTGGTGCGGTTTCTGGTAAAATTCACTGATTTGCCCAATCTGCCCCATTCTCTAAAATGAAAGGTCTGAGTTGGAAGGGACACATCCTAAGCTGTTGAGATTTATAGAGTAAGGCAAGAGCTCTTGAGACTCAGGGGAAGTGAGGAAAATGGGTGTGTGGCTCTTTCACGTGGACTCTCTGATATTTAACTCGGTCGTAACTCTGAGGGAGCTTTTGCTCATGCCCATCCCATTCAAAGGCTTCTCTCCAGTGTGAATTCTCTGATGGCGAACAAGAGCCGAGCTGTACCTGAAGGCTTTCCCACACTCGCTACATTCATAGGGGTTCTCCCCGGTGTGGATTCTTTGATGCTGAATAAGGCCTGAACTGTAGGTAAACTTTCCTCCGCATTCCATACATTCGTAGGGCTTCTCTCCAGTGTGGATTCTCTGGTGCTGATAGAGGTGTGAGCTCTGGCTGAAGGCCTTCCCACACTCATTACATTCATAGGGTTTTTCTCCAGTGTGGATTCTCTGATGGTGAATAAGGGTGGAGCTCCTGCTGAAGAGCCTTCCACATTCATTGCAGGCGTAGGTTTCTCACCAGTGTGGATTCTCTGATGGTGGGTGAGGGTGGAGCTCCAGCTGAGGTCTTCCCACTCATTACATTCATAGGGTTTCTCCCTGTGTGGATCCTCCGATGCAGAATGAGGGCAGAGCTACAGCTGAAGGTTTTCCCACAATCACTACATTCATAAGGTTTCTCCCCAGTGTGGATTCTCTGATGCTGAATAAGGTGTGAGCTCTGGCTGAAGGCCTTCCCACACTCATTACATTCATAGGGCTTTTCCCCGGTGTGGATTCTCTGATGTTGAATAAGGTCTGAAGTTCGATTAAAGCTCTTGCTACATTCATCACACTTATGGGGTCTGTCTCCCACGGGGAGTCTCTGATGTGAGATAAGGTTGGAATTCACAGTGAAGCTGTTCCCAAAGTCATTATATTTCTCGCTTCTCTCTCCTATGGGGCTTATCTTCTCCTCAACTGTCACTTGACCAAAATCTTGCATTTTCCTGGTCAATCTTTCTCCGGGGGAGTTCCCCAGTGGCCTCTTTAGACTGACTTCTCGTTCATAGGCTTCTTTAAACTTGAGACCCTGAGAAATATCCTTCTGAAATCTTCCCAGTAGGACCCCATGTGATCTTGTGTCTTCAGAAATTTCTTGATCATTTTCAGTTCTGGTCTCACGATCTGACACAATAAAAAATGCAAATGTCACTTGTTCCTTGGGGAAGAAAGAGTGAAAATCACAGGACAGGATCATCATAATGAATACTTACAGTGCCAAGAGCACATGCCTGCAAAAAGGCCTGCCCCATATGTGTGCAGCTAAGGCAAAATGAGACAACCAGGCTAAGGAGACAGGGAAGGGGCAGGGCAGAGAGCAAAACCAAGGAGAACAGAGCTGGAAGTGGAGAGACAGCTGAGTGTGTGTGGAGGGGAGGACGGATCAGGCAGAGAGGTAGGGAACCAATATTAGAAGAGGAAGGTCATATTGCTTAATGAAGTGACAAAGCGTTTAGAGAGATCAGGGCAGTGGATATAACTGGGGACACACTGACTGCAAGAAGGGAAAGCAAGTACAGTACAGTTGGTGAGAAAAAGGGGGAAGGGTGAGGAGAGACAGCAGCAGCACAGGAAGGAGCAAGGGGGAGGATGCTAGCGGCCAACATGGCCCCATAAGAAGAGCAATCATGGCACTCGTCACGCCACAAATGCCAAGCCCATGGAAACGGCAAGACAGCTGAGTCCACCTCTGGGCCCTATGCATAAAAGGCTACGCTCGCACGTGAGGCTATGCAAAGAATCTCAGTGTGTGACATCTCTTCACTCCTTTGGAGTTTCTAAAGGCAACTCTGCACACAGAGGATAAATGTAAAGGGTCCAGAGAGTTTGCATTTTTAGCTTAATTGGTATTTTAAAAAGTAAAGACAGGGTAATGTGTGTTAGGGACAGGAACAGCTGTTTCTCCTTCACCTGAACAGGTACCTCTTTAGGACCTCTCTGCTCTCAGTTCCCTTTAAACCCAGGCCCCTTGACTCTTCCTCTCACTCTAGCAGAGAGATGGTGGCAGGATTCAGAAATGGGAATTCTGCTCATGGGAAGAGTTTATCTGCTCACCCTGAGAATCCCAGAGCTCAATTCCAGACCCCGGATCTGCCAGGAAGAGAAGGGAAATGTACAGGGAGGTCTCAAATGAGACTCAGGAACGTCTCCTGGCTCTGTTCGGGAAAATGCCCACTAAGAGTGGTGTGAGAGACAAGGAATTCTACATCCTAAAGGTTAAGAAACTAATTTCTTAATTTTTCTTGTTTTTTTTTGTTTGTTTGTTTTTGAGACAGGGTCGGTCTCTGGCACCCAGGTTGGAGTGTAGTGGCGCGTTCTTGGCTTACTGCAACCTCCACTCCCAGGTTCAAGCAATTCTCCTGCCTCAGCCTCCCAAGTAGCTGGGATTACAGGCACATGCCACCACCCCCAGCTAATTTTGTTGTATTTTTAGTAGAGACGGCATTTCAACATGTTGGCCAGGCTGGTCTGAAACTCCTGACCTCAGTATCTGCCCGCCTCAGTCTCCCAAAGTGCTGGGATTACAGGCATGAGCCACCACACCTGGCCTAATTTCTTAACCTTTCTAAGTTTCTACAGAGCAGCAGGGGCACCAGGTCCTGAACAAAGCAACAGGTCCCTAGAGGTTACAGAAGGGGAGTGGAGAAGCAGAGAAGGGGAGGACAGAGACATGGGCACAGAGCAGCACCTCATGTGTTCGGGGATCACAACACAATAATCCTTCAGAAAACTCTCTGGATTATATATTAAGTCCTGAGAATAACATGGAAAAAGTACCAGATTTGGCCAGGCGCGGTGGGGCTCACACCTGTAATCCCAGCACTTTGGGAGGCCGAGGCAAGCAGATCACCAGAGGTTGGGAGTTCGAGAGCAGCCTGACCAACATGGAGAAACTCTGTCTCTACTAAAAATATAAAATTAGCCAGGCGTGGTGATACACGCCTGTCATCCCAGCTACTCAGGAGGCTGTGGCAGGAGAATTGCTTGAAAGCAGGAGGCGGAGGTTGCGGTGAGCCAAGATCACGCCATTGCACTCCAGCCTGGCAACAAGAGCGAAACTCCATCTCAAAAAAAAAAAAAGGTACCAGATTTGGAGTTAAAGACTAGGCCCCAAGTTTTACCACTCATCAGCGCAATCGATGACCATGCATGCACAAAGCATTGAGACCTCTACCCTCACCTCCACTTTATTTACTTACTTATTTTTTGAGACAGGGTCTCTCTGTCACCCAGGCTGGAGTGCAGTGGTGCCATCTCAGCTCACTGCAACCTCAGCTTCCCAGGCTCAAGTGATCCTCCAACCTCAGCCTCCCAAGTAGCTGGGACTACAGGAATGTGCCACCATGCCTCGCTAATTTTTTGGATACTTGATAGAGACAGGCTCTCGCCATGTTGCCCAGGCTGGTCTTGAACTCTTGACCTCAAGTGATCCTCCTGCCTCGGCCTCTCAGAGTGTTGGGATTACAGGTGTGAGCCACCTCACCAGGTGAGGTGGCTATCACTTTCCTTACCTGTAAAATGAGGAATAATACTAGCTGCCTCAATTAATGTGTTACTGTGAAGATTAAATGAAAGAATATATATGAGAACGCTTTATAAGTTGCAAACTACTGTATAAATGAGTTAAGATTATCGTTCTTACAATTTCCCAAGACTAAGTCAATCCTTAGCCAGGCTGGGCACGGTGGCTCATGCCTGTAATCCCAGCACTTTGGGAGGCCAAGGCAGGTGGATCACTTGAGGTCAGGAGTTTGAGACCAACCTGGTCAACATGGTGAAACCCTGTCTCTACTAAAACAAAACAAAACAAAAAAATGCAAAATGTAGCCCGGTGTGGTGGTGCATGCCTGTAGTCCCACCTACTTGGGAGGCAGTGAGAACGCTTGAACCTGGGAAGTGGATGTTGCACTGAGCAAAGGTTGTGCCATTGCACCTCAAAAAAAAAAAAAATCTGCTGAAACAGTCAGCTCTTTTCAGTGACTAGATTGTTACTAACAAACAAACAAGCAAAGAAACACCAGTGAGTTTTGTAGAGAAGGCACAACTCCTTACCCAGTGAGAACACATTCCCGTAATTCTCCAGCATCACATCTCTATAGAGGTCCCTCTGAGCAGGTTCCAAACGCTTCCACTCCTTCCGGATGAAGTACACAGCTACATCCTCAAAGGTTACCAGCTCCTGAAACAACACATGCTGGCATGCAATTTCAGGGTGAGGAATGTGAATGGCAGCACCAAAAAAATAACTGAGGATGGGGTAAAAAATGCACATTTGGGAAGAGAGGAAAGGAGAGCAGGGTGGAGGAAGAGAGACAAGAGTCCAAGATGGAAGGTGAGAGTCCATGATTCAGCAGGACAGAACCATGGGCCTGATGGAGGCGATCAGGGTTTAAAGCTCTGAATGGGATGTCATTGCACAGAAAATGGAAAGGAAAAGGATGAAGGGAACCACAGCTTACCTGGGACTTGGCCTTTAGGAGTGCAGCTGCCAACATCTCATCCCCCAGGCTGTCCTTGTCGGAAAAGGCAGGAACTTTTGAAGGAAGAGCTGAAGGGCAATAAAAGGGCCCAGGAATGAGTCCATCTGCTCTGTGACCTCCCAACCTGCTGACTTCCCAACCCACAGAAAGCTCCCAGAGTCCTGGGACAACACAGGACCCTCTCTCTCACATAGTTTGCTTCCTCTGCAGCTAGCTCAAGGGTGTCCAACAAAGGCACACTCGGAGCGGGTCCATCCTGCCTGAGCAGATGGCCACAGGCCTAGTCATTCTAGGCCTCCAGTCTGCCCCAGGCCCCCTCTTCTCTCTCCAGTCACTCTTCTCTCAATGAAGCCGCCCAGTCCTATCTTAGTGATGACTGCATTCTTGTCCATTCACCCAAGTTTGGCCAGAAACATACGATCCTGCTCTTGCATGGTCTATTTTTTTTTTTTTTTGAGGTGGGTTTTGCTATGCTGCCCAGGCTGGTCTCAAACTGCTGGGCTCAAGTGATCCTCCCGCCTCAGCCTCCCAAGTAGCTGGGATTAGGGATTACAGGCATGCACCACTGCACCCAGCATGAAGTTCTTAGAACAGAGAAAAACCAGCAGCTCCACCCCAACCCTAACTGGAAACACAATGCCCACAGTTCCTTTATCTCCACCCCAGATCAAATCTGTACACTAAAAATGTTTCCTGTTTCTATGTTGGATCTCTTATCGTTTTCTGCAATTCTTTTTTTTTTTTTTTTTTTTTTTGAGACAGCATCTCGCTCTGTTGCCCAGGCTGGAGTGCAGTGGCACGATCTTGGCTCGCTGCAACCTCCGCCTCCCGGATTCAAGCAATTCTCCTGCCTCAGCCTCTGGAGTAGCTGGGACTACAAGCGTATGCCACCGTGCCCAGCTAATTTTTTGTATTTTTAGTAGAGATGGCCACTGTGTTGGCCAGGATGGTCTTGATTTCCTGACCTTGTGATCTGCCCACCTCAGCCTCCTAAAGTGCTGGGATTACAGGAGTGAGCCACCGCGCCTGGCTGCAAAATATATTTTAGTGGCTTCCTATTCACTCTTATATTTTTGCCTGTGACCCACAAAATGATTCCCAAGCGCTTCCTCTAAAAGCATGCTCCTAAAAAGCACAAACTATGCCTATGAAGTTAGCTGCATAGAATGCCCAAAAAATGAAATGACTGACACGGTTTCCTTAGTCTCACGTGAGGTACTCACAACCCTTCAAAACTGCCTCAGTGGCCAGGTGCGATGGCTCACACCTGTAATTTCAACACTTTGGGAGGCCAAGGTGGGCACTGAGCTCAGGAGTTCAAGACCAGCCAGACCAACATGGCAAAAACCCCGTCTCTACAAAAATTAGCTGGGCATGGTAGTGGGTGCCTGTAGTCCCAGCTACATGGGAGGCTGAGGCAGGAGAATCACTTGAACCCAGGAGGCAGAGGTTGCAGTAAGCCAAGACTGTGCCACTGCACTCTAGCCTGAACAACAAGCAAGACTCCGTCTCAAAAAAAAAAAAAAAAAAAAAATCTGCCTCAATTATCAAACCTATCAAGCTGTCATTGATTACTGTTTGGTCAGCTTCCCCACTAGGCTGTGAGTTACTGAATGATGAAGAGTGTGTCTTATTCACGTCTGGATTCTAGTAGTTAGCCTAGTACCTGGTGAATGAGCGATTTCAATGGATGACTGCTGAATGACTGAGTAATAGAATGAATAAGTCCTTATTCCTCACCACTCTCAAGCAGGGCCTGAGGTTCCTGAGATACGAGATCGGCCTGAGTTTCCATGGAAGGGCAAGGTGCTCTCTGGCCTCCTACGTGCAGACTCAGTGGGAAGCAGGTTTTGAAGGAGAATGAGGAAGCACTGCAGAAGCAAAAGTTCAAGGTTCAAAGATAATTCAAAAAAACCTCCTGGATACAGAAAGATGGGAGCTAGCATTTCAGCGACTACCCAGGAACAGTGAGAAGAAATGTGGCAACTGGGACTAGTCTTTTATTTATTTATTTTTTTAAACAGAGTTTCACTCTTGTCACCCAGGCTGGAGTGCAATGGCGCAATCTTGGCTCACTGCCACCTCTGCCTCCCGGGTTCAACTGATTCTCCTGCCTCAGCCTCCCAAGTAGCTGGGATTACAGGCTCGCGCCACCACGTCTGGCTAATTTTTGTATTTTTTGTAGAGACAGGATTTCACCATGTTGGCCAGGGTGGTCTCGAACTCCTGACCTCAGGTGATCCACCCACCCCAGCCTCCCCAAGTGCTACAATTACAGGCGTGAGCCACCACGCCCAGCCTGGGACTAGTCTTTTAGATCCTGGTAAATATACTCCCTGAAATGAGACTACCACAAGGACCACAAAAAGGGCCCAAGTTCCTCAACAATATCCCACCGTTGGCTGCCCCCACCACTTTGAGTAATATTTATAACAAAATGCAGGAGCGGGTATATACATTTACTGGCATAAAAAGACTACTCCCAGGCTGGGCATGGTGGCTCATGCCTGTAATCCCAGCACTTTGGGAGGCCGAGGTGGGCAAATCATGAGGTCAGGAGTTCAAGACCAGCCTGGCCAGCATGATGAAACCCTGTCTCTACTAAAAATCCAAAAAATTAGCTGGGCATGGTGGTGCGCACCTATAATCCCAGGTACTCGGGAAGCTGAGGCAGGAAAATCACTTGAACCCAGGAGGCGGAGGTTGCAGTGAGCCGAGATCACGCCACTGCACTCCAGCCTAGGCAATAGAGCGAGACTCTGTCTCAAAAAAAAAAAAAAGGAAAAAATACAAAAATCAGATGGGCATGGTATTACATGCACCCGTAATCCCAGCTACTTGGGAGGCTGAGGCAGGAGAATCGCTTGAACCCAGGAGGCAGAGGTGGCAGTGACCCGAGATCACGCCACTGTACTCCAGCCTGGGCAACAGAGTGCAACTTCGTCTCAAAAAAAAAAAAAAAAAAAAAAACCCTGGATTTTATCCACTTCTCATTATCTCTTTACTCATTTCCTCACATACCAAATGTTTGCTGAGTGCTAACTCTATCGCAACTCACAAATGCAAGCAGTAAAAAAAAAATCAGGAATGCAAAAAGTATGTGCTTCATAATTAGACTGTTACACTCACATAAGGCATCAAAGGAAGAGGGTTAGATAAAAGAATGTTTGAGAGAATAAAAGAAAAAAAAAGAACAAAGGAAGAGGAGTCCTGTTTGAAAGTCAATTACAAGTTTGGACAACTCTGGTCTTCGGGTAGCATGGGATACAGAATGTCCAATACCAGTGCCCTTACACAGTGGAAAGCACTGACTCAGGCACAAGCCAGGCCACTGGCAATCAAGGTGACACACCTTATCGCCCTCCCAGCAGGGTCCCTTCAACAGTGTCTCAGAGCCAACCATCATATCCTCTTATCAACCACCTTTACAATCTCCAGGGCTATTTATGAGCTGACACCCTCAACAAGTCAGCTTTCAGTACAAACTCCTAGAAAGGCAGGTCAAAGGTCTGACTCCAGAGAAAAAGGCAATGCTCCCTCTCACAGCTGGGTTAAGCAAAGCTGGAACTCAAAGGCATATTGTTGAGAACAAGCACCCAGTGTCTGGAGCAGTACACAGTGTTTCTCACAGAAAGAAAACTCTCCATTGTGCCCCCATGGCTTCAGGTCCAGGCGGGGCCCTTCCCCTGCTCTGTTGCCAGCCTCACTCCCTGGTGCTGCCCCTGGGGACCGAGATAGATGGTCTGGCAGTGAGAACGAGACACGGAAAGCTTTACCTGCCTGATTATTTCCTTCCTTCTTTGAAGTCAGTCCCTAGAAGGCCAAAGGAACAATTACTGGGAATTTAGCAGCCTCTCTTCAAGTTCCCGGGAATTCTGACCTTTGTCGATGCCAATGCTGTGTGATTAAGGGGAAAAAAAGGAATTTAAAATATTCATGCAAATGTCTTTTTTTTTTTTTTTTTTTTTTCCATGTGAGACAGGGTCTGACTTTGCTGCTCAGGCTGGGGTGCAGTGAGTTTAAGCTCACTCCAGCCTCAAACTCCTGAGTTCAAGTGATCCTCCCAGCTCAGCCTCCCAAGGAGCTGGGACTGAAGGTGTGCACTGCCACATCTGGCTGAGTTTTTAAAAATTTTTTTTGTAGAAATGCAGGCTCACTATGTTGCTCAGGCTGGTCTCAATCTCCTGGCCTCAAGTGATCCTTTCGCCTCAGCCTCCCAAAGCGCTGGGATTACAGGTGTGAGCCACCGAGTCCACCCTAAACTTCATTTCTAATCAAGATATTTAGAGAAAAGGAAAAAAAGAGGGAATACTTATTATATGCTAATAAATACCAATTAAGACCACCACCACAACTAGTAGTATTTGTGTTGCACCCGTGGAGAGATGAAAGGGAATGGTAGGTTCTCAGGTCCACCTCCACCCAGGGAAAGTTCTAACGTTCTGTCAGCTAACTTGCTAGATACTGTCCTCCCAACTACTTCAGCAGGGGATCCACACTGCACAGCTGAGCCATTAGAAGTCTTCAGGTGATTCGCTGAAAATCTATCTCCTTGGACCTTCACCTCACAGAGACCTACTGCATCACAGAAATTCAATGACTGGCCACATGCAGTGGCTCACGCCTGTAACCCCAGCACTTTAGGAGGCTGAGGTGGGAGGAGTTCCAGGCTACAGTGACCCATGATGGCACCACTGCACTCCAGCCAGGGGCAACAGAGCAAGACCCTAATACACACAAAAATTTTAAAAGGAAAAAAAAAAGTGCCGGGAGTGGTGGCTAACGCCTCTAATCCCAACACTTTGGGAGGCCGAGGCGAGTGGGATCTCAAGGTTGGGATCACTTGAGGCCAGGAGTTGGAGACCAACCTGGCCAAAAGGGCGGAACCCCGTCTCTACTAAAAATACAAAAAAATTCGCCGGGTGTGGTGGCGGGCGCCTGTAGTCCCAACCACTCGGGAGGCTGAAGCAGGAGAAGCGCTTGAACCGGGAAGCGGAGATTGCAGTGAGCCGCGATCGCGCCACTGCACTCCAGAGAGACTGTCTCAAAAACAAATAAAAATTAATTGTTTTAAAAACAAAAGAGCTTCAACAACAGGATCCTCTTCTTCCACCTGACTGTCCATCAAACACGTATAATCAAATAATGCCCAGTCTCCACAGATGTCTTTTCTGGAGAAAATAATACGCTTAGTTCCTCTAATTAGTCCATCGGTTTCAGGTTCATCACTCTGCTATCCCTCCTGGAGTTTACACAAGCCCTTCAAAGTGTAAACACCGACGTGGATTCAATCCCACTTCCAGAGAGAGGATCAAACCAGGAATCTAATACAACTGAAAACGGAGCCTGAGCCGGGTGTATCACTCGATGCACTGGGCTCCAGCAGGATTACCCCTGGGATCGGAGTCTGCACCCACTCCCAGCCCTCGTGCTAACTGCGTAAGCTTCGCAGATCTCTGATCCTTGGACCCAGTTCCGTAAAAATAAACTTCCTCTCCTGTCACGGGCGCGAATTACTGTGTTAACATCAAATTAAAAAGTCTGGGAGAAGTACCAAGTTAGGGTCGCTGTCATTAGCTGCTTTCAAGAGAGAGGCGCCCCTACCACTCTGCTGAAACTTTTAAACGCTCCAGCTGGGGCGCCGTTTAAGTCACAAAACCAGAACCGGAGCCCCATTACTAACCCCTACGCAGGGTCCCGCTAGGCTAGGGGGATCCCTGGGGAAGCGGAGTAGAGGACGGGCTGCAAGGGACGGAGGGGCGCCTCCCCGCACCCTGCTCGGGGCCGGCCGGGGAACCCTAAGGGCCGCAGCGGCACAGACACCACCCCCTTCCCCGGCGACCACAGCCTCCGTCTCACCGCGAGACCCGGGGACGCGTGGACTCACCCTAGGGGACAGGGACGACAGATTTGGGGGACCGGACACGGAACAGGCCCTGTTGGACCCTGTCACAGACCCACACACCGGGGACAGAACAAAGAACGGAAGTTCCCCCTCGTTTCGCTTCCGGGTCGGTTGTTCTTGACACTCACCCGTGCCCCCAACGCCCACTTGTTCTGTCTAGGAAAATGGGAGGTCCTCGCCTCTCTGTGGTTTGCTGACTCAGGGCAGCTGGCAGGCGGCGAGGGCCAGGAGCCCAATCGCTGACGCGGCACTCGGTGATCTTTCGCTGCGGGGTTGGCCGGCTGCGCCCTCTGCTGGCCACGCACGTGCGAAAGCGGCCGACCACGGTCCTGGGCCTCAGGACATGTGCTCCGGCGTCGCCTGCCTTGGGGGCCGGCGGCTGGGGCGCCCGGAGATATCGAGCCCGCGCTTCTCAGACTTGCTCGCGAAGGGCAGCAGTAAATATACAATTCTTGAAGGATTCATCAATATTAAAAAATGGACCCTGATTTAAAATTTGCCTCTGAACAAACCGATTTTTTGTTGGTGTCTTGCAAAAATGTCCCCTTTAAATTACCCACATCTGGGCCGGGCGCGGTGGCTCAAGCCTGTAATCCCAGCACTTTGGGAGGCCGAGACGGGTGGATCACAAGGTCAGGAGATCGAGACCATCCTGGCTAGCATGGTGAAACCCCGTCTCTACTAAAAAAATACAAAAAACTAGCCGGGCGCCGTGGCGGGCGCCTGTAGTCCCAGCTACTCGGGAGGCTGAGGCAGGAGAATGGCGTGAACCCGGGAGGCGGAGCTTGCAGTGAGCTGAGATCCGGCCACAGCACTCCAACCTGGGCGACAGAGCGAGACTCCGTCTCAAAAAAAAAAAAAAAAAAAAATTACCCACATCTGAAGAAAACATTCCAGCCCATCACAGAGTTGACATGAGGAAAAAACCCGTGTACAGGTGATGAGAGCAGAGCAGAGGAAGGTACCGACCGGGCGCAGAGGCTCACGCCTGTAATCCCAGCACTTTAGGAGGCCGAGGCGGGCGGATCACCTGAGGTCAGGAGTTCGAGACCAGCCTGGCCAACATGGCGAAACCCTGTCTCTACTAAAAATACAAAAAAATTACCCGGGCGTGGTGGCGGACACCTGTAATCCCAGCTACTCTGGAGGCTGAGACAGGAGAATCGCTTGAACCCAGGAGGCGGAGGTTGTAGTGAGTCGACATCAAACCACTGCACTCCAGCCTGGGCCACAGAGTGAGACTCTGTCTCAAAAAAAAAAAAAAAAGGAAGCTACAGGTGGAAGTGAGGCGGGATAGGTAGTCAAAGAAGTGACCGTGTCCTGGAGACGCGGCAACCATGGTGACCACACAGTCAACACAGTAAGCCCCAGCATTTGCATTGTAATTGAACTCATTCAAGCAGAGCTCTCTCCAGTAGGGACTGTCGCCTGTAGGGAGCATGCGCATTTTGATTTCACCTGTCCCTTTGCTCATTATCATAGTAAAAAACACGCCCCTGGGTGGAGATTTAAGATGCTAATGAAACATGCAATGTATCAACAAGCCTGTACAGCCACTGCGCATGTGCACCTAGAGGACCACCCAGAACATGCTTACTAGTAACACCTCTCCCACCCCCTTATGAATAATTGTGTAAGACCCCCCCCCCACAAAGGGGGTCTCTCTAGAGCCAGCCTTTGCTGTTTCATCCTTAGGAGCAGCCCTCCCTGAACTAACTCTCTCTCTGTCTCTCTCAGGGTGTACGGTCTACTCTGCACTTAACTTTCAAGATATTATTTTCCTTTTGCAATAAATTACTCTATGCTGGATTTCCTTTGACATGTGTTTCTTTTTTTCTTTTTCTTTTTCTTTTTCTTTTTTTTTTTTTTTTTTTGTTGTTGTTGTTGTTGTTAAGACAGAGTCTCGCTCTTGTCACCTAGGCTGGAGTGGAGTGGTGCGATCTTGGCTCACTGCAACCTCCGCCTCCTGGGTTCAAGCGATTCTCACGCCTCAGCCTCCCAAGTAGCTGGGACTAGAGGCATGTGACACCACATCCAGCTAATTTGTTTGTATTTTTAGTAGAGACAAGGTTTCACCGTGTTTGTCAGGCTTGTCTCACACTCCTGACCTCAAATGATCTGCCCGCCTCAGCCTCCCAAAGTGCTGGGGTTACAGGTGTGAGCCATCGCACCCAGCCTCCTGTGTGTTTCTTTAAATGTTTTATTTTCTTTTGAGATGGGGGTCTTACTCTGTCACCCAGGCTGGAGTGCAGTGTTGTGATTTTGGCTCACTGCAACCTCCACCTCACAGGGTCAAGCAATCCTCCCACCTCAGCCTCCCGAGTAGCTGGAACCCCAGATGCATGCCAACACGCCCGGCTAATTTTGTAGAGACAGGGTTTCACCATGTTGCCCAGACTGGTCTCAAACTCCTGAGCTCAAGGGATCTGCCCACCTCCGCCTCCTAAAGTGTTGGGATTACAGGTGTGAGCCACTGCACCTGGCCTTAAATTATTTGAAACTAAGAAGATAAGAACTGAGGTATCACAACAGCTGTCAATAGAAGGAAAGCACCTCATCATGTTCATACTTTCCTGTTCATGCTTTCCTCTGCCTTCTTCAACATATGAAGTCTTTTTTTTTTTTTTTTTTTTTCTTAGAGACAGGGTCTCACTCTGTCACCCAGGCTGAAGTGCAGTAACATGATCCTACCTCACTACAGCTTCAACCTCCTGGACTCAAGCGATCCTCCCTTCTCAGCCTCCAGAGTAGCTGGGACCACAGGCACGCACCATCACACCTGGCTTCCTTTCTGTTTTGTAGACTGGGTGCTGCCAGTTCGTGAATCCCTAATAAAGCCAACTCAATCTTTAAAATTCAATTTGTTGGCCGGGCGCACTGCCTCACGCCTGTAATCCCAGCACTTTGGGAGGCTGAGGCAGATGGATCACCTGAGGTCAGGAGTTTGAGACCAGCCTGGCCAGCATGGTGAAACCCCGCCTCTACTAAAAATATAAAAACAAAAATTAGCTGGGAGTGGTGGTGGGCACCTGTAATCCCACCTACTTGGGAGACTGAGGTGGCAAAATAGCTTGAACCCGGGAGGTGGAGGTTGCAGTGAGTTGAGATTACACCACTGCACTCCAGCCTGGGAGCGACAAAGCTATACTCCATCTCTCTCTCTCTCTCTCACTCTCTCTCTCTCTCTGTCTCTCTCTCTCTCTATATATATATATATACACACACATATATAAGTATGTTTATGATCTGTTTCCCACAACTAGAGTATAAGCTCCATGAAGTCAGGACTTTGTTTTGTTCAGTGATGTACCTGCTGCCTGGTAGGCACTCCCAAATATTTGTTAAATTCATGACTGACAGGTGGATAGATAACCACTGACCCATACCAAAAAGGGGCACTTGCTTTTTGTTCGTTTTTCGTTTTGGGGTGGGGACATTTTTTTGGTTTGTTTGTTTTGACACAAACAAACATGGCGAAACTCTGTCTCTACAAAAAATACAAAATTTATCCTGGCGTGGTGGCACGCGTTTGTAGTACCAACTACTCAAGAGGCTGAGATGGGACAGTCACTTGAGTTCAGGAGGTTGAGGCTGCACTGAACTGTGATTGTAACACTGCACTCCAGCCTGGGTGACAGAGCAAGACTCTGTCTCAAAAACAACAATAACAAACACAAAACAAAACAAAAACAAAAAAAAGAAACGTTTAGCGAACTCAGTTCTGAAAAGCACACAATCAACTGATTCGATGTCAGAGTCATCTTTAAATTCCACAATACTGGCTGTTTTATGAGCTGTATAATTATCTGAACAATGTTTCAAAAGCAGTAGAAACAACAAGGCAAAGGAGAGCAGTGCAAACTATCAACTTTACTAACCCTAGAATAATTCTCATCTTGTTTTTATTTTAACCTTTAATCTAGCCGAAAAGCACTATGCTCCTTGGAAGCTGCCTAGCATTCTTTAAAGAGATACATTTTTCTGGCCAGGCATGGTGGCTCACGCCTGTAATCCTAGCACTTTAGGAGGCCCAGGCAGGCAGATCAGTTAAGGCCAGGAGTCTGAGAACAGACTAGCCAACATGCCAAAAACGTGTCTCTACTAAAAATACAAAAATTGGCCAGGTGTGGTGGCGCAAGCCTGATATCTCAGCTACTTGGGAGGCTGAGGCACGAGAATCATCGCTTGAACCCAGGAGGTGGAGGTTGCAGTGAGCCAACATCTCGTGAAAAAGATACATTTTTCTGACCTCATTTTTCCAAACAGAAACGAGGCCTTAGGTACTTTTCTTTGACAACCCTCTCAGTTTGTCCAGACCTGGTTGGTTTATCGCTTGGGACTAGAATAAGATAAATTCTTTTTTAACTTCCCTTTGGCCAGAAGACCCCTCTTCCTGCAGGATTTCTCAAGTCTGTTCCACTGAGGGTTGCCGGCCCCTTCAACTTTCCTTCATCCGGGCTCCTAAATGGAGAGATTGCATAATTCCCCTGTAAGTTACAACTATCACCATACGGGGCTGTTCAGGGTCATAACACAGTTCTCCACCTGCTTTCTAGGAGCTTACACTGTGGGTGGGGATACAGACATCTAGAGCCAGAGTCTGTCTGGCTCTTTCTACATGTCTGTACCCCTTTTTGTAGGGAAGGCAGGAGGAGCAGTGTGTGCAACTTGCTTAGGCTTAGGGGTAAGGAGGGGGGTGGAGCAGCCTAGGCTTGCCAGATGTGAATTTTGGGGTTTTTGCTCTGTCTTGCTCTGTCACCCAGGCTGGAGTGTGGTGGCGCGATCTCAGCTCACTGCAACCTCTGCCTAGCGGGTTCAAGTGATTCTCCTGCCTCAGCCTCTCGAGTAGCTGGGATTACAGGCATGCACCACTATGCCTGGCTAATTTTTGCATTTTTAGTAGAGATGGGGTTTCACCATCTCTACTGGTCGAAACCAGGCTGGTCTTGAACTCCTGACTTCAGGTGATTCACCAACCTTGGCCTCCCAAAGTGCTGAGATTACAGGCACGAGCCACTGCGCCTGGCCAGGAACTCAGTATTTAAGGGAAGAAAGCATGCAAGAGGAAAATAAAGCAGAAGGAGAGGCAGTGAGGCAAATGTTTTTGGTTTTGTTTTGTTTTGTTTTTTTTGAGACAGGGTCTCGCTCTGTCGCCAGGCTGGAGTGCAGTGGCGCGATCTCGGCTCACTGCAACCTCTGCCTCCCAGGTTCAAGCGATTCTCATGCCTCAGCCTCCCAAGTAGCTGGTACTACAGGTGCATGCCACCACTCTCAACTAATATTTTGTATTTTCGGTAGAGACGGAGTTTCACCGTGTTAGCCAGGACAGTCTCGATCTCCTGATCTCGTGATTTGTCCACTTTGGCCTCACAAAGTGCTGAGATTACAGGCATAAGCCACTGAGCCCAGTCCAGCAAATGGTTATTTTACTTTATTTTTTGAAATAGAGTCTCACTGTGTTGCCCAGGCTGGAGTCCAGTGGGTCCATCTCAGCTCACTGCAATCTCCACCTCCCAGGCTCAGGCGATTCTCCCACCTCAACCTCCTGAGTAGCTGAGATTACAGGTGAGCACCACCACACCCGGCTAATTTTTGTATTTTTACTAGAGATGGGGTTTCACCATGTTGGCCAGGCTGGTCTTGAACTCCTGGCCTCAAGTGATGCACTCACCTCCCAAAGTGCTGGGATTACAGGCATGAGCCACCGCACCCTGCTGCAAATGGTTACTTTTTTGTGAGGTTCTCATTAGTGTTTGGTAAATCTACATTTTATGTAAGATACAATAAACATTTGAAAAGAGGGAGTGGAGGAAAAAGTCAATTATGCATCTGTCTCATGATAGGTGGAGGGATGATTCCTGGTCTCTTCCTTGTTCTATAATTGGGAAGATGAGCTTGTGTCAGTATGAGATTTCACAGAACTCGGATTAGGGCTGGTTTATAGGGGGAGTGTTTATGCTGAAAGATTTAGAGGCTAATGAGGAATTTCCTGGCAAGCAATTTGTGAGGGAGACCATCTAGGGAGGTATATGCCCTTTGCCATTGTAGGAACCTGGCTTATGTATGAGGCTATGACACAGGGTTGTGGAATTACAGCTATCTGGGAACAAAAAGGAAGGGAGTTCTGCCTCAGTTCCCAAGCATAAATTTCTTCAGCATGCCCCCACCATACCCAGCTAATTTTGTTTTCATTTTTTGTAGAAACAAGGTCTCACCATGTTGCCAAGGCCGGTCTCAAACTCCTGGGTTCAAGTGATCCTCCCACCTTGTCCTCCCAACGTGCTGGGATTACAGGTGTGAGTCACCATGCCTGGCCTTGTGGAGTTATTTTATTTATTTATTTATTTATTTATTTATTTATTTATTTATTTATTTTTGAGACGGAGTCTCACTCTGTCTCGCCCAGGCTGGAGTGCAGTGGTGCGATCTCAGCTCACTGCAGCCTCTCCCTCCTGGGTTCAAACAATTCTTCTGCCTCAGTCTCCCGAGTAGCTGGGACTACAGGCACATGCCACCACGTCCGGCTAATTTTTGTATTTTCAGTAGAGACAGGGTTTCACCATGTTGGCCAGGCTGGTCTCAAACTCCTGACCTCAAGTGATTGGCCAGCCTCGGCCTCCCAAAGTGCTTGGATTACAGGTGTGAGCCACCATGCCTGGCCTTGTGGGGTTATTTTCGAAAGTCCTTGAGACAGTCCCTATATCAGACATGAAAGCATGAGCCCTTCTCCTTGGTGTTCTCATGACTCCAATTTGTTTGGACTTGACAATGTGATTTTTGTCCTGGTATCTGCAACTTTCACAAGATGGAGCAACTCAACACCAGATTCCATCCCAAATTATTCCTTCATTCACTCAAAAAGTATCTAGGCACCAATGTGTTAGGTACCGTGTTGGTCACAGGGGATACCACGATGAACAAGAGAAGGAACCACAGGCTCCTGAATGCGAGAGTGAGGCATGTGGAAAGCAGACACGGAGAGCTGGGTGTGGTGGCTCATGCCTGTAATCCCAGTGCTTTGGGAGGCCAAGGATGGAGGATCGCTTCTGTCCGGGAGTTGGAGACCAGCCTGGACAACCTAGAGACTCCTGTCTCTATCAAAATAAAAAAAAAAATAATAAAATTAGCTGGGTGTGGTGGGGTGCACCTGTAGTCCCAGCTACTCGGGAGGCTGAAATGGGAAGATCACTTGAGTCCGAGAGTTTGAGGGTGCAGTGAGCTGATATCAGGCCACTGCACTTCAGCCTGGGCGACAGAGCGAGACCCTGTCTCAAACAAAACAAAACAAACCACCACCACCAGACATGAGGGCCAGTGCAGCTGTAGCCTGAAGATCAAGGGCTAGAAAAGTAGAGGCCAGACCGGGGCCAGATCAGGCAGGGCCTTGCAGGCTGTGGTTAGTTGTCTGGATTTTATTGTGAGGGAAATAACACGACATGTCATTCATTCTGCAACAGCCTTGAGAACTAGGAGTTCTTATCCCAATTTTACAGACGAGGACGATCAATCAAGTCGTTAACTAATTTGTCAAAGGTCACCCGCAGGCGACAGGCTGGGACAGGGTCTGGGAAAACCGGCTGGCACCGAGGCCCAGAGGGCGTCGGGCTTCCCCGCACCGAGTGCCGCCCGCCGCGACCCGGGAACTGCCTGCTACGCGGACGCCAGGCCCGCCGCTTGCCGCGGAGACACAGAACATGCGCCGCTCGCCTTACGGAAGCCGGGAAGGAAGGGGGCGGGGCCGAGGCTGGCGGGCGCGGGGAAAATGGCGGCGGCGGCGGCTGCAGCTACAAACGGGACCGGAGGGAGCAGCGGGATGGAGGTGGATGCAGCAGGTAACGGGCCGTGCGCGGGCGGCTTCCGGAGACCTCCTTCAGGGGTGCGTTGAGGCCTCGCTGTGCTCCCGGGAGAAGGGAGGAGGGCGGAGCAGCAACATCTTTCCCTGGGATAAGTTGCGGGAGGAAAAGTGTGGCCCGGGCTCCGTCGTCCCCCACTGCTATCTGCAGGGAAGAACGTGGGGCCCGGACTCTCACCCTCTCTCTTTCCCTCCACCCTTAGTAGTTCCCAGCGTGATGGCCTCTGGAGTGACTGGGAGTGTTTCCGTCGCTCTCCATCCCCTTGTCATTCTCAACATCTCTGACCACTGGATCCGCATGCGCTCCCAGGAGGGGCGGCCTGTGCAGGGTGAGTGTTGGGCATAGACTCCAGTCTCCTCTCCTTGCTCACCTCCCCCAGACAGTAGTCTTTTCCCCTTCCTTTACTGGATCCAATTCCCTTCCCCCAAATCATCGTTTCCCCAATACTTGGTTCCCACTCATCTCAGACCCTCGGGTCATAGAAGTCTCTTTAACGTCACCTTTTCCATGTCATTCTCTTTCCCAGTGATTGGGGCTTTGATTGGCAAGCAGGAGGGCCGAAATATCGAGGTGATGAACTCCTTTGAGCTGCTGTCCCACACCGTGGAAGAGAAGATTATAATTGACAAGGAATATTATTACACCAAGGAGGAGCAGTGTGAGAGTGGAATAGATGTGGGGAAGAGGAGTGGGAGTTAAAAAAAATGTGCAAGGTGGGGAAGATGGAGAGGGTTGGAAAGAAACCCGAGAGGACGCCAAGAACAGAGGAGAAAAAGTGAAGAGAGTAGCTGGAGAGATCTCAGAAACAGAACATGTTCAGAGTTCTTTCTCAAAAAAAAAGTAAAGGATGAGAGAAGACAGGATAGAAGGGAGTAATTATTCTAAACTGAGCCAGGATTTGAGGAGGGAGGAGAAGCTGGTGAAAATACACCAGGAGTTTCACATTGAGGAAGGGTGGTTTAAAGAGTTACTATGTCAGGCGGGACGCAGTGAATCAGGCCTATAATCCCAGCACTTTGGGAGGCTGAGGCGGGTGGATCATGAGGTCAGAAGTTACAGACCAGCCTGGCAAACATAGTGAAACCCCATCTCTACTGAAAATACAAAAATTAGCCTGGCATGGTGGTGCGTGCCTGAAGTCCCAGCTACTCGGGAGGCTGAGGCAGAATTGCTTGAACCTGGGAGGCAGAGATTGTGGTGAGCCAAGATCGTGCCACTGCACTCTAGCCTAGGCAACAGAGCAAGACTCTATCTCAAAAAAAAAAAAAAAAAGAATTACTGTGTGTTCTGTCCCCTTCCCCTCCAGTTAAACAGGTGTTCAAGGAGCTGGAGTTTCTGGGTTGGTATACCACAGGGGGGCCACCTGACCCCTCGGACATCCACGTCCATAAGCAGGTATACATGCTCACACCTGTGCATGCTGGGGCAGAGAATGGAGAATGAGGGGAAGGAGAAAGGTGGGGGTCACTGACTTCTGTGCATTGTCCCTCTCTTCCAGGTGTGTGAGATCATTGAGAGCCCCCTCTTTCTGAAGTTGAACCCTATGACCAAGCACACAGATGTGAGTAATACCCTATACTCTGTCATGATTGTCACTGTTGCCTTTTACTGTGTGATACTCTTCTATTGGGGAATTCCAGGTGCCACTTACCAGCTGTGACTCTGTCTTAGTCATTTCATCTCCAAACTGTGAAGGGAGGTAATCCCTACTTCACTGGTTTCTTGGGAAGATGAGATGAGAGGAAACGGGTGAAAGCAGCTCGTCCAAATGTTGGCATATAGTGTTCAGGTTTCTCCATCTCCTTCACAGCTTCCTGTCAGCGTTTTTGAGTCTGTCATCGATATAATCAATGGAGAGGTAATACCCTACCCTTCAACCCTCAGATCCTGCTCTTGGCCTCTTTCCTGCTTTTGATTCTCCCTTTGTGGGTTACCTTGCCTTGTAGGCCACAATGCTGTTTGCTGAGCTGACCTACACTCTGGCCACAGAGGAAGCGGAACGCATTGGTGTAGACCACGTAGCCCGAATGACAGCAACAGGCAGTGGAGAGAACTCCACTGGTAATGGAGGGGATTACTTGGAAGTAGGGTTGGAAGGCGTGGCCACATCCCGTCTCAACCTCCTCCTGTCCTCGTCCCTTTGCAGTGGCTGAACACCTGATAGCACAGCACAGCGCCATCAAGATGCTGCACAGCCGCGTCAAGCTCATCTTGGAGTACGTCAAGGCCTCTGAAGCGGGTAGGACAGGGGCTTCCTTGGGCACCTCCCTGGCATTCTTCCTCTCCCTCCTGGGGAAGTGACAGCATCCAAACTAATGCAGCCTCTTTTTGTGCCTTTAGGAGAGGTCCCCTTTAATCATGAGATCCTGCGGGAGGCCTATGCTCTGTGTCACTGCCTCCCGGTGCTCAGCACAGACAAGTTCAAGACAGATTTTTATGATGTGAGTTTAAAACCTAGATGGGGAGGTGGGGCTCATGCTGTCACTTTCACGTGGAGGACCGGGGACTGTTGTTCCCTGGGCATGCCACGAGGGATCCCCTGAGGAACTTGTCCTTTCTGTTCCCTCCCAGCAATGCAACGACGTGGGGCTCATGGCCTACCTTGGCACCATCACCAAAACGTGCAACACCATGAACCAGTTTGTGAACAAGTTCAACGTCCTCTATGATCGACAAGGCATCGGCAGGCGAATGCGCGGGCTCTTCTTCTGATGAGGGTACTTGAAGGGCTGATGGACAGGGGTCAGGCAACTGTCGCAAAGGGGAGGGCGCTACACTTCATTGAGAGAAACCGCTGTCATTAATAATAAAGGGGAGCAGCCCCCGAGCACCCCTGCTGGTGGCTCTGTCCTCTCTGTTAGGCACCACACTGGTTTGTCAACTTGGATGTTCATCAAGGTGCATCGTGAGCCTTGCTCACAAGCCCTTCTGATCTTTTCCATGAGGGAGGCACTGCCATTTCAAGTGACCCCGTGTCAGTCACATGGACTGTCGTTAGCATCCAAGGCTGCCTGCTTCCACCTAAGCGGTCTCTGTTCTACACTTTAATGTCACCCTTGACATCATCTTACATAGCCCAGCCCTATAAATGTGACAATTGACTACTTTCCCGAGTGAAATTAACTTTTCACACACGCAAAAAAACAAGAGATAGTAAGCAGATTTTTATTAGAAACAAGTCCAAGCCTTGATCCTGTGGGCATTGTGAATTACCAGGAGGGAGTTTCTCAATGACCGTTTACTACATATTTTGGAGAGGCAGCTAGGAAGTGGTCTAAAGGTCAGGATTGCTGTATGTGATCACTTGTGCCGATTTTCATCACCCGCTAACCAGAGCTTTAGAGTGGGATTTGGGAAATAAGTGGTTAAGTAATGACCTGTGTGCTAGAAAAGGGGAAAAACCAAGAGACCCTGCATTTTATACTGGCACTGTATCCCTAGAGCCTGACTGGCACACAGGCAGTGTAAGACTAAATAAGGGAGTCGGGGGCCTCAAAAAGTGGAGCCCCAGCTCAAGTATCTCCAAACAGCAGGGACCACTTAGTCTTTGCCACATCCCCAGCATCTATACTGGGGCCTGGCAGGGAGATGCAGCTTACTCAGACAATTTACTGAGTGGATGAAATAGGAGCATAAAAAGGAACAGGTAGGAATCTAAAAAACACACAATACCCTGTTTTAATGAAAGGCCCAGGCTAGAAGGTGGCAATCTACAAACACTTTATTAGCAGAAGGAATAAGTGCAGCATAGGAGAAAGAGGGGCTCCTCCTTCCCCTCAAGGGCATCACTGCCCCTTCCCAAGGGGCGGGCCAGCAGGGAACAAGAGGACCCCAGGCTTGCAAGCACGTTGGAATCAGACAAAAGTGATCCGTGTCCGGGAAGCATTGACCTGCCAGACGTTGAGCTCCTCGTATTCATCCAGAGCCGCCTGGAACTGGGCGGGTGTAAAGCCGCGAGATATGCAGCGCTGCTCTGCCTCAGAGAACCGGACGCTTCGGCCCCCTGAGACCAGTTCACGGACGGTGGCAAATACCACATCTGCTGGTCTCTGAGTCCTGAAAGAAATGAGTAGGTGTGTAAGGTCAGGGGACAAACAGGAATAACAGGAATGCTCGACATCAACAGAGAACAATGATGGTCAGTGTTAGAATTGAGGCCAGCCTCAGACACATGGACACAAAAGCCAAAGTAACTCAGCTTTGTCCTTCACTAAACCACTCACCTAGCTGTCTGCCCCTTATCTCCCAGAAGAGAGTCCTTTGACATCTCCATTAGCCTGATGGCTTCATTCACATCTTCCTTCTCCACCACGTCCACCATTCGCAGACGTGCCTAAGGGGAAGGTAGGGGAGAGATGGGAACGGGAGGAGGGCAGTGGAACAAGGTCAGGGAACACCCTTGTTCTGGCTTTAAGGCTGGGCAGCCCATGGGTCGCCTACTCACAAAACAGGAGAGGAGCCCCCCACCCCCCCAGCATCCGCAGTGTTGGGCCGGCACTGTCAGACCGAGACAAGTGCAATGCCCAGGGCAGCGTCCAGCAATTGCCCAAGTCTCCGCCTCTCAACACTGGCCAGTCCCGGAGTTCAGCTGTCCTGTGAGGGAGACCAGACCCTTTTGAACTCCACTGGGCTCCCCAGCATGACAGATGGAGCTTGGGGAGCTCAGCCAAGACAACTGGCAGAGAGAACGTGTCCTGGGGGCTCGGGAAGTGCTAGCTCAGCAGTAGGTCGGTTAATCACACTACCTGCACGAACAGCACTTTGGAGCCCCCAGGACTGAGGTCCAAGACGGGAGGACAGAAAGGAAGGTCTGTAGCACAGGATCTAGGACACGGAGTGAAACAGATCCCAACCACCCGCTCAGTGAAGGTTAACAAGTGGGGAAAAGGCCTTTCCCTCCACGGACGCTGTGCGTGCCCTGCTGGAGCAGCAAGTACCCACAGTGCGGTAGCACGGAGAGGACCACTATCTGCACTGTCAGCACTTTAGCCCCGGCAGGGCTGGAGCAGGAGGGACTCGGCGATGAGAGCATGGTAAGGAGCTGCCCCTTTAAGGGTCAAAACAGATGGTCCTCCAGCAGTTTGGGCACTTACCAGAGCAGTGGAAAGGCGCAGGATAGCCAGCAGGGTCCGAGCAGAAGTATAGGTGGCATCCTTACTAGCCCAAGCCTCTCGCCTCATCTCCACATACGCTGCCGTGATGTAGTCAGCCAGAGACTCTGGCACTGTGGGCTGCTTCTCGCGGCACATGGCTATGTAACGCCTGTGGGGGAAGGTTCATGGGGAAGCAGAAGAGGGAGATGGGGAAGGGAGTAAATATGAGCCCATGTTGTTTTCTGCACCAGGGCTCCCCATTTAACATGGTCCCCTCCAGGAACTTTAAGTGGAAAAAACAAATTAGTGGGTATTTGCTTGGCTTGAATATCACTGATGGATTTCACCAAACATATAGCCCCTGAGGACCCTCCCAAGTTATTTCCTTTTTTTGGGGGGGGTGGGGGGGAATGGCCTTTGTAAGGGTAAGACAAATCCATCTGTCATTAATAGATGATCCAGACCCCTCCTCTGAGCGCATGACATGGCAAAACAAATATATTTAAAGACAATAGTTTACAGAATATTTAAAAGTGAGTAAAAAACCTGAGGGAACACTGGAGGCTCCTGGAAAAATAGCGATAGAGGTTGAGTATCCAGAATGCCTGGGAGCAGGTGTTTTAGACTTCAGATTTTGGAGTATTTGCACATACATAATGGGATAGCTTGGGGATAGGACTCCAGTCTAAACATGGAATTCACCTATATTTCACATACAACTGACATATAACCTGAAGACAATTTTATTAAAAATATTTTTGTGGGCCAGGCACAGTGGCTCATACCTGTAATCCCAGCACTTTGGGAGGCAGAGGCGGGCAGATCACTAGGTCAGGAGATTAAGACCATCCTGGCCAACATGGTGAAACCGCTCTCTACTAAAACACAAAAAATTAGCTGGGTGTGATGGCGCGCACCTGTAATCCCAGCTATTCAGGAGGCTGAGGCAGGGGAATCGCTTGAACCTGGGAGGGAGAGGTTGCAGTGAGCTGAGATCGCGCCACTACACTCCAGCCTGGCGACAGAACAAGACTTTGTCTCAAAAAAAAAAAATTGTGTAGGAAAGTTTCCCATGTCCCTATTGTATAAAGTGTGGAATTTTCCACTTAAAAGCTGATCTCAGGCTCTGGTCATGTCCGAAGTGGGAAGTGGTGGTGTGAAAAACACACCCTAAGATTAAGCACTTTTTCAGGAGGCTCGCATGGCCCACTCAACGTTTGCCCGTCTGCACCCAGCTCTCCTACCTCATGAGCTTCATGTCCAGAGGTTCGAACTGGGAGGGGGGCTGCCGGCTGTGCTGGTGCACATAGGTGATGTGCTGGGCCAACCTGGATAAAGGGGAGGCCAGGAGGAACATCCTTTTTAGGGCTACACACCCATGTCCTCTTAGGTGTCCCTCCCTTGACTCTGCCACTTCCTTACAGTATAGGAGGGACACGCTTTCCTGAAAATCCTCATCAGCATTTCAGCCCCAACCCACCATTTCCCCGAGAACCGTGGACCAGCCCCTGATGCAAGGGGGAGGCTCTGGGGTTTCCAGGAGCGCGGAATTTGTTTTGATTCACCTCCCCTCCTCCCTATAGATCATTACAGGGGACCTCTCTCTCTTTGGGTGTTGAGCTCCATTCACCGTAGGTCATTGTCTCGGTCAGGCCGGTCCTGAATCAGCCAGAGGAGGTCAAACCGGGAGAGCAGCGCGGCAGGCAGCTGTATGTTCTGCTCCAGGCTGCGGCGGGGGTTGTAGCGCCCATAGGCAGGGTTGGCAGCAGCCAGGATGGAGCAGCGGGCATTGAGTGTAGTGAGGATGCCGGCCTTGGCAATGGAGATGGTCTGCTGCTCCATGACCTCATGGATGGCTGTGCGGTCGGCCTCGGCCATTTTGTCGAACTCATCAATGCAGCACACACCCTGGTCAGCCAGCACCAGAGCCCCACCCTCTAAAGTCAGTTCTCCACTCACGGAGTCTCTCAGCACAGCTGCTGTAAGCCCCACTCCCGAGGAGCCCCGGCCTGTTGTGTACTGGCCTGGAAGAGAAGAAATAAGGAACCATAAGAGAGAAAGAACAAGAAGGGGAACAAACAAAGGACAATAAATGGGCCAGGGAGGCAAGGCCTGTGCTGGGATCATTCCACTGCCTCCCCCAGGCCTTCTTGAGACGCCTGAGGATCTGTGGGGTGCTGGCAACGTTCCCCTTCCCCTCCCACCGGTTCTCTTCAGAGCACAACTGTGGCTCGGCTCACTGACACCTTGGCTCCTGGACTCAAGCCATCCTTCAGCCTCAGCCTCCCAAGTAGCTGAGACTATAGGCACTCACTACCACACCCAACTAATTTTTAAAACTTTTTAGTAGAGGCCAGGCGCAGTGGCTCACACCTGTAATCCCAGCACTTTGGTAGAGGCAAAGGCAGGCAGATCGTGAGGTCAGGAGTTCGAGACCAGCCTGCCCAACATAGTAAAGCCCCATCTCTACTAAAAGTACAAAAATTAGCTAAGTGTGGTGGCACGTGTCTGTAGTCCCAGCTACTCAGGAGGCTGAGAAGGGAGAATCGCTTGAACCTGGGAGGCAGAGGTTGCAGGGAGGCAGAGGTTGCAGTGAGCCGAAACCATGCCATTGCACTCCAGCCTGGGTGACTGAGACTCCGTCTCAAAAAAAGGAAAACAAACAAAAAAACACCCCAAAAAACAAACTTTTTAGTAGACCAGCCTGGTCTCAAACGATTCTTCTGCCTCAGCCTCTCAGAGCATTGGGGTTACAAGTGTGAGCCACCATGCACCC